AAGAAGGGACAGTGCATATTACAGAAAATGCCAGAATTAACCATGGAGGCTAGTTTTCATGTTTCTTGCAACACAGTTGAACCATTTTCATTATTTAAGAGCAGATCCAATCGAATCCAATCGAATCGTGATTAATTGATTCAGAACCTTATGAATCGAAATCGAATCTATCTAGAGAACTGGCCATGATACCCAGCCCTAACCATCACTAAACAAAGAAGAAGCAGCAGCCTTGTGTAGATATTTTGAAAGTTAAAAAGACTGTTGCTGTCCTATCTCGTTTTAGGACAGATCCAATAAAGTGTAGCAAGAATGCAAACCACTGGCTTCAAAATAAAAGCCTCCATCTTTATCATCATTAGGGTTGGGTAAAATCCTATCATGTGTAATTAATCATCTGAAAAACTGTCAACAATTAATATTTGCTACTTACTACAATTAGTGCCACATGATGACGTATTTGTGTGTCACTAACAAACATTATCAGACAAATGTCACAGCGGGGGAAATTAAAAAGGATATTACTGAAAAGCACAAGTACGGAGTCGCGGTCATCAACCTGTGAGAGTTGTTCCAGTGAGTCAGCTGCAAAACTGACTCTTCAGAGTCCTCCATCATGACTCGTTGATGCTGAACAAGCTGAGCAGCAGCTGCCGACACGATGTAGGAGGAAGGTGCTAAGCTAATGCTAGATACACCTGTCAAACTCCAGTCCTCGAAGGCTGCTGTCCTGCAGGTTCTCTCATTTCCCTGCTCGAACACACCCAATTTGCATGAATTGATGATTCTACAGAATTTGAAGAGGCAGTTGAATCACTGAATCAGGTGTGTTGGAGCAGAAAAACATGCAGGATCGAGACCCTCGATGACCTGAATTTGACACCCTTAAATCATGCTAGCTCTGCCATCATTTCATGTTTAACTTAAACGGTCTACTGTTTTATTGTTTTCTTTACATTGTTTACATTTCTCATTAACTGGGTAAGACTAGTGCCTGTGTTTGGTGGTTTCAGCAGAAATGTTTGTCATGCCTTCACAACAGTGCTATAGCGCAGCGTGAGCTGCTACCTCAGAATAGGCAGTAGTGATGTGTTCGTAAAGGCCTTGGTGATGGTGGATCGCATCTTCCAGGTCTTGCAGCTCAGAGGGCAGGTCCACCTCGCCGCACGCCTTACACCACGAGTCCACATTACTCATGTACTGCAGGGGGAGAACACACACATGCTGTCAGTGGAGAGGTCTTCAGAAGAGCCACTTATAGAAGACCTTCCCTCAAGAACATTTTCTTTGTCCTTACTGAGCTGCAGAACAGTTCCTTTAACACAAGAATTATCATCATTGAAATGATTTCCATCTAACCTTTGACCTTTAAATCTGTGACCAAAAACAGGAATTGTCATTGAGGTGAATAAAAATACTCAGTTTTAGCTTCAATACAAATATGAAACTAGGAGTGTAACGATAAATATAACTCCCGAGTTTGCGAGATGAGTTTTTATTACTAGTTTCAAGAAAACTTCAAAGATCTATTTTATGCTGCAAAAATGCTTTTTTTCTGTGTTTTAACATTTCTTGTTACAAACTCAACTGATATCTTCCTTTTTCTGATTTCTTGAATCTCCTTAGACCAGTGGTTCTTAACCTTTTTTGAGGTACCGAACCCACCAGTTTCGTATGCGCATTCAGTGAACACTTTTTAGTGATAAATAAAATATGATTTTTTTTTTTCAAATTCAAGACATAGTTGTTTTTTTACAGGTGTATAAAATGAGCCGTGCATTAACATCACCTTGCTCAAAGAACAAAACCAACACAGTGCATGAACTCACAG